AGCAGGAATCTCCAGGGGGCAGGGAGCAATGTCCCAGCCCCTGTCATGAGACAGCTGTCTCCTGGCCCTGTGCTCCCTGCCAGCTCCTAAGCTAGCACCCAGGCAGAGCCTAGAACTCTCCCTGGCTTCTGCAGGGGCCTGGTGCAGGGCCACAGGAAGCAGGAGCATCTGTTGCTAGGAGCAGCAAATCTGCTCCCATATCCCTGCAAGTCTGCTCCCACATCCCTGCTCTCACACCCTCACCTGCACAACTGATGCCCATTGCAGGGGTATGTAGGGCATATACCATGGCTCTCTCCTGGGTCCCCGCCCTGCAATCCCAGTCTGTCTACCCATCCTGCTCCTGGATGCCACTCCCTGCTCCCACATCCCTGCATGTGTGCCCAGGAGGGTTTACTCTAGTGTATTAGAGTAAACTGCTCCTGAGTTATTTGCACATGTAGATGCACCCCAGGTCTATTAAGAACAGTGGAATTCTAGGGAAGTGTAGTTCTCAAGTCATATTGGGACTATAGGACCAAAAGTAAAGCATGACAGGAAGAGAGGCTATATAAAGAGGCAGGTCCTTCTTCTCAGTGAATAACACTTGGAACAAGACATATCTAATAGATCTCCCTGCCATCTGCAATATTCTGGTGGAAGCAGGCTGTACTAGAGAGGCTAAGGAAAGTCTAGAAAGGAGTACTTTGTGTGAATAGGTTCCCTACCAGTGAGGGAGGCAATACGGGGTAAAGATATAAGCTCTGGGTCTCTCTGCTAAACCACTCTAGAGAGGAGAACATTTATATGGACTGTGGTACAAAGTCTATAGGTGGAAAGGGTTAAAGGCTGGCAGCAGGAGGACTGGCAAGAATTCTCTAAGGAGGAATGTTGTTTAGGAAAGCATTCCTGATGGGGAGAAAAATGGGGCCTTTTTGGTATAGACCAGATAACTATACCATTATCTAGAACTTCAGGATTGCGTTTCCTGGGGAAGCACAGTGAACTCATCCACAGTTGTAAGGGCATGTTCAAGTTGCTCTTATATCCTGAAGAGAAGAGAGTGCGTAAGCTTTCAAGAATGTCTGGGATTCAGCGTGAGAAAATGGTTGAAGTCATTTGGAGGAGAACGAGTTAAGCAAAGGGAGAACCTGGGTGAGCATTTGCTAGTGTTGGAGCATTACATATACATATACTGTACACTTCTCTTAAATTGGAAAATGGCTAGGGGGTAGCTTCACTTCATCTAAGGGGCAAGAGCTAAACTCCTTTAACAGTAGTGGAAACTGCAGCAATGGTGACAATTATGTGATGAGCAGTAAAAGACTGCCTCAAAACAGAAAGATGCTGTGGTGATTGTGTCCTGCTCATGTGAGTACTAGCACTGATATCTATGGGGGTTTATATGTGTGAGTAAAGTAAATATTACTCATCTTAGGGATCTTATGTATGTATATTGTTTTTGTATCATCATATCTTTAGCTGTACAATGTCATTAGTTTTATGGAGATCTCCTGACTGTAATCAAATTAAACTGATATTATTTGCAACAAATAACAACTTTGACTATGAATGTCAATGACAGTACTTAGCAAGTAAGGTGTTATTTGCCAATGTAAGGGTACCACAATCTGGTCCTCTGACAATGTAATAAGGTATTAAATTATACATGGGGAAAATGTTCAGTCAATCCACTGGATGTTACAAGACAGTTTTTTGTTGGAATTTTAATAAAGAGAAAAATAAATTAGATAGGATTATATAACCCAAAGAAACTTTAAATTCTGATATATTAAATATGAATCTAGTCATTAAATAAATAAAGGTTGACTTGGGAAGCTGAAATCAGCTTTATCTTTCTCTACAGGGGAAGGCAAACATTACAAAAATGAGTGTTTTCCCCAAGTTGCTATAACTAGTAAAAACCAATGATTATTATTTCAAGAAAATGAATAAAATTCTTCTTCCTATGGGGATATAGCTAAAAGGCATGGATTTAAATGCAGAAAGTATTTTTACTAACCAATAATGGGGGGTTATATGCCCTACCTTTGAGAATTACCATAAAGCAATTACATTCAAACAAAACCTAATCTAGATGACAGCCAGAGCCACTGGGTCACCTAGTTAGATGCAATTAGAAGAGCGTATTGTTTCAGCACAAAGATGAATAATCCTAATTCTGACCTGTAGTGGGCAGTGACAGATGTGTTAGACTGGGGTATTAAGTATTAGGTATTCTCCCTGATAGATGAAATGTGTTCTTGAAAATCTGTGCTTTATAACAGTTCAGATCCCTATTTTAAAATCCATTGAAGAAATCCATACCCAACAGGTAAGGAGGTAGACACATAAACAGAATGAAAGTGGGGAGATTGAGACCAGTAAAAATAAGAACATAAGAATTGCCATTTACTGGGCCATACCATAGGTCCATCTTGCCAAGTACCCTGTGCCACACAGGGGCAGTAAGTGGATACTGAAAGGGAGCATCATTGCTCACTAAAATCATATGGTTTTGTTTCTTCTGGCTGATTGAACAGCAACTAAATGAATAAGGAGCTTTCAAAATGGCAACATGAAAATTCCTAGCATATTTGCAGAAGCAGTCACAACAATTTCCTTAAACATCCTTGCAAACCAAAAGCTTGCTTCCACATTTGTGAGAAATGAATAAAGGGGATCTTGAAAAAACAGCAAAACGGATTGCAGTCATTTGAATGAAATCTGCCAGACCCTTATTTTATTCGTTCAATCTGTTCTTGCCAGTGTCATTCTAACTTACAAATGTTCTTAAATGATGATGGTATGACTGTTATGGTAGTCATGGCTGAGTGGTTAAGGTGATGGACTAGAGCTTCATTGGGGTCTCCCCGTGCAGGTTCAAATCCTGCTGACTATGGCATGGGCACTGCTCCTCTTTTTCAGGAGGCACTATTTCAGTCAGAGCAGCCAGGATCTGGAACCAACTTCCAAGGGAAGTGGTGCTCGCTCCTACGTCTTCCAAAGGAATCTAGACAATCACCTAGCTGGGGTCATTTCACACCAACATTCTTTCCTGCCCATGGCAGGGGGTCGGACTTGATGATCTGCTCAGGTCCCTTCCAATCCTAACAGCTATGAAACTACTTGCTTGCCACAAGTCTGGAAATTTGGTGGCAGAGGAATGGTGGCTGCAACACAGGTTCCAGAGCTGCAGCAATTAATGCTGCTGCTGCTTGTCCTACTGTTGGCTCTGGATTTAGGACCCAGAGGCCTTGTTCAGGTGGGGGGCCCTCTGGGTCACCCTCAGATTGACCACAACCTTTCCATTCAATAATAGGAAAATTTATTGCTATACAATCATAACAGAAAAGAACCAGTACAAGTAATCAAGCAATTCTATATATCTACCAAATCCTGGGGCTGTCATCAAGAGTCAAAGTACATCTGGCCAGGACACAGTCTTCACTCTGAGGCTCTCTCTTAGGTGTCAGATGTCAGTGTATCAGCAGTCTGGAGGTGGGATGCTGAGGCCGACTTCCACCCTCCAGTGGGATGAGATGGGCTAGTCATATGCCCTCTGTCCATGGTGGCCTTGGGGACCACTCCCAGGGAATGGGGACAGGGACAGGGACGGACCTGGGTGGAGGAGGACAAGGAGTGATAGGGAAGGATAACACAAAGGGAGGGATCAGGGGTAGAACCCTTTGTTACTCTCAAGTCTCTGCTTTTGTATTCTCCTTCCCTCCTGATTACTCTTGATGACTCTTGATGCATGTCTATCTCTGCTTGGTCCCTCTGTGTGATTGTCATAGCCCATGTACTGTGTTGTCAACACATTCCAAGCCCATCACACGCACACATACTAATTTGGTCTTTCTGGGCCTTCACCTAATTTAGTCTCTTCCCCTAAAACTGGGACTCAGGCCCCCCTGCTTTGGGGCCTTGTTATCTGGTGCCACTTTTATCTTGTGTATGGTACGTACTCCCTCAGTTCCCACACTGTTTTTCCAAACTATTTGTTCTTGTTGGCCTTGTTGTGTTAGACAGCCTGTCTACTTCCAAGGCTATAGAAACTGTGAGAGAGACCCAAGCTTTTTAGAAATCAATTAAGCTCTGCTGTCCATTTAAAACCCTTTCTAATGCATAAAGCTATACCTATAAACCGATTCCCAAAAAACAAACCTCTAAGCCAACACTACTATATGTGCGGGCCAGGAGCGGTCCGAGGCCCTCGGGGGCTTTCATGGCGGGCTGTGGCCAACAGCCCTGGCAAGCGGGTCGGGGAATGCAGGCCGGAGGGCTAGAATTAGGCACGGATGCTTAGCGGTTGATTAAAGATTATTTTACTTACACCGAAGATGGTTGCGGTGCAGGCAGAAAACTTGCTTGAGTTGCGGTTACAGACAGAAAAGAAGAGAGGTGGACAAGAGTTCCTTCCACGTGACCCTCTATCCCAATCCGGTTGAACGCTCTAAACACCCGAGCCCGTCGCGTCAACTGAAGAAAACAACTCGGAGAAAGAGCTCTGGATACACTCACATGAAGTTTGCTAGGCTCCGTGGAACTTGCGCGCAGGGAAGGGGTTCGTCGAGGGATCGTTCGGCGACGGGGAGAGGCCAGAGGTTGATCAGACCCCTGTAGCTTTCTCAAGGTACACGCTGGGTCCAATAGGCTCCTCAGCACTTAGAGATCTTCACAAGACATGAAGTTCTCCTCCTCCAGATGGTTGTGGAGTCCTCCAACTTGGGCGGAAGCCGCTCAAGCCTCTTATACGGCTAGCAAGCCAATCGCTAGCCGCCACGTGGGAATAATTTAGAACTGGTCAATAGTGGGACACAAATTTGCATGCGAATGGCAGGAACTCCTTTGCACCGTGCATTTCTCTTAGCAACTAAGAAATGCACCCTGCAAAGAAAGCTCCTAGTGGCGGGAAATAATTTAGCAGTGCCGAAGCGCACACAAACAAAATCACACCCTTGGGTTGTGACATCCCCCCTTGCTGAAGGCACAGCTGAATTATGCTACACGCTCGTCACTCGGGTGATCAAGAGCTCTTACCACGGGTCGCTGAACTAAACGAGTAAACACAAAATTCGCTAACATAAGAAGTTCGATAAGAAGGGATTGAATCAAATAATAACCAGCACAAATATATATACACATGATTAGATTCATAACAAAGAACTGCATGATCAGGGCTTCAGTGGGCATCATGGCGAAGTCGCGCATCAGGCCCTCACTTCTTCCGATGATGTTATCTTTCTTGGGGCTTCTCTTCGCCACGCACTCTGAATTCCGGATCTGTAAACAAAACTCTCAGAAAGTAAGTTAACATATAACAAAATATTTACAAAATTTCCATGGAACTACACTATCATTTCTAAAACATATAATACAGGTGTTTGCTACTTTGCACT